AAGACGAAATACAAGGGTACTGACCTGGTGTCTAGCAGTGAGCAAGTAAGGAGACACTCTGTGGACACCAGGATTATATAGGTGAAAAGAAATAAGGTTTGGGAACTGTACAGTAGCTCAGCATTCTCCATAGCAAGCCAAAGAGTAGAGAAAAGCGAAATAGGGGCAAAGTCGCGAGATACTGGAATAGGAAGGTGGTGAAGGTATAAACAAGACACAAGTAGAAGGATACCTCAACACATAATAGCTGAGTGGTTGCAGCGCTCTGGGCACTACCACAAGGCTCTAGGTTCAACTCACACAACAGGCAAGTTTTACCTCTTTTTACCCAAGTGTCCTGGAATGCTGGAAAGCGTACCAAGGCCACTGGGCTGCTGTCCCAAGGGCATAGGAGCGATGCAGAGGTGCTGGGCGCACTCTGACACATTCTGCAACAATAATGAGCCTTGTGGCAACCAAGGAAAGCTAAATTTACTAATAAATGTACTTTTAGAACTGGCTTGTTGTACGTAGAGACAAACTTGGTTCCTGGTGGTAAATGCTCCTTGAGATGCTGATCCCTAATAAGTCCAGGTCTATCAATGTGACCTATATTTGAGTAGGCCGAAGAATGGGCTTACAATAATAATTGCATACAGCTCTTGGTGTCAGGATGTATAAACTTTGCCTGAGATCCCAGCTGAGGGATCACATTGAGTGCTTCTTCATTAGCAAAAATGGGTCAAATGGCATTGAAGGTAGCATTGCCCTCCATGCTGGATAGCAATAATGTTTTATCCTCCACCCATAAACCAATCTTCTTGTCAGCTATTGTAGGGCCCAGGCCAGCAACTTGGACAGCCAATGCAACTGACAGGCAGGAGAGATTGGGTACAGAACAATGGTCAGAAGTTTCTGTAGCGTGCTGGGGAAATGTTGCCAAGCAGTAAGTCATGCTGTTTATCTCACACAAAGGGGTCTGCATACAGATAAGCCCAAAGATGAAATTGACAACACCATAGAGTGAGCCTTCCATGTGATACTTGTATTGGGCAAGAGCATATTTGGCTTGTATCATGGCAAAGTTCATGAATGCCTGAGGAAGATGATGAGCACACATAGGAGTTACATGGGAGCAAGGCAAAGCTAAGTAGGGCATACTTCATTGTCTTGGAAGGGTGTCACATGTACTGTTTCCAGTGCTAGTACCTATACACCAAGTCCAATCAATGCTGATTTTATATAGGCTGTTCAAGTTCCGATGAAGTATGGTAAACATTGGGCATCAAGTGCCAAAAATCCACGTGTGTTCAGCTTCATTAATAGGTGCAAGAGGTATTCTGTGTAGAGTCAAAAAAGGAAGCAGCAGAGAAAAAAGAAAAAGAAAAACTGTCAGCGCTGTTGATACCTAATGATGTTTACAGTGTCTTCACTTCTTCTAAGAAAACTGGTTTGTAGTGTGCTCAGACCTTTTCAACAACAGGATACTATTGGTTTCAGTGCTTGTTTGAGCAGTAGCTTGTTCCAAGTATTTGTTTGGACTCTGGCTTACCAGGATCCGCATCCTTGAATGGGGCCATGGCATCTGCGGCAACAAGATTTCAGACCCCACCTGTGATTGGTTCTACTGGGGCTGCTGGGAGATATAACTACTAGACAGTGTCTTGGATGAACAAAACAAGTGAAGTGTGAGCCTGTTATCTCAGCTGCAACCTATGTATTTCAAGACAGGCCAACCTTTCATTTCTGTGGGCACTTTCATGGAAAGTTCCCATTGCAAGCTTTTTTTAAGAATATATTTACATAGTGAAGTTGGAGTAATGTGTGCTGCGACAATTTTAATATGCATATATTAGACGGGTATAAACATTTGAGTACCTAGTAAGCATATAGGTACTCAAGCTTATTTATGGGGTGACTCAAGATAAGAAACAAACCTATTGCAAACACTGAATAAAAGTGATCCTAGAAGCTGATGAGTGGAGGAAGAAGAAGCTGTCAAGGCGTCAACAATGAGGCAGTCGGAGCCAATGTACTTACAATCAAAGAGAGCCAACTGCATTGTTGTGGTGCCAAGTCCCCGCTGTGGTGTTTGATATATGATAGAGTTCTTTGTCTTCCACAATGGTGGTCCTCTAAAACCTATTCTGCACACTCCACAATTAGTGTTCAGACAAACATAATTCATCACACACTATCACCTTTGATTCTTGGAGCTTGAACCTTGGGCTCAAGCAGCCTAGATCATTATTACCTACACGGCCTACTAGTGCCTTGGGATCCCCTGTTGTCAATGCTGTTGTGAGCAATGCAATTCAAAACTCTAACAAACCTTACATAAGTTGCAAATCATGCCCAATGCAAACTGTAATCTGTGGCGGGAATTTCAAAGCCAAACTTGATGCTTTTGCGTGAGGTCTTACAGTTGTTTTCAAAACAATAGTCTCAATTTCACTTTTGTGGAATAGAAATCTGTGTTTATCCTTGGAGCTCAAGTTTGTTCACTAATCTCCTGCTGTCTCCTGCGACCAACATAGCTCGTCAGCCAGTATTTATAGTTTTTATTATTATTATAACATTAATCCCATTTTCACTTCTGTGGCACAGAATTCTGTGTTTATGTTTGGAGCTTGAGTTTACCCCATTTAGAGGCTAAGCTCTCCACACCCAGAGTCTGGTCTCTCATATCCAAGATTATTGCCCATTGCTTCCCCATGTACTGTCTCTTGCGCCCACCATAACTTGTTGGCAAGCCCTCACTCAATTTTAGCTCTAATCACACACAGTGCCTGGCAATTGACATATTATACTTGAGTCTGTCAAGCTTCAATAAGTGCAATAGATATATGTCAGAAGTTTCATAAGTATTCATTGGCAGATACTGCAGTACATGGACAAGTCCATCAAATGCTAGCTATTGGCACAGGGAGGTCTACTGCTAGTATGATGTGACATGATAGCAGCAACACATTTGGTTGAGTTTTTGTTGACTTGCAAAATGGCTCATCCCTGGCTCCACAGTACATCATGCTGTTGCTCAGCCTTAGCATCTGCATCACATTACTCTAAAGATAAACAACATTTTCAGATTTTACAAAAATGAGGTTGGAACTATTGTTTTAAAAACAACTGTTACTGGCAAAGGCTACTTGCATTTTCCCTAGCAACATGGACTCTCCCATGTGTTCTGAGTATATTCTGTGTCTCCCAACATTACCCATGGAGTCTATGGTAGCTTTATCCTATGATACACACAAAAAATGAGAGCACAATTCAGTGAATTGCTAGTTATTGACATTGGGAGGTGTAACACCACGATGTGACGCAACACCAACAATGTGTTCCAGAGAGGCACATGATCTTGTTCACTTGCAGGACAACTTGTCCCTGGCCCCACATCAGCATCATAGACTGTCATGCTATGTTGCTTGGCCCCGGCATCTGCACCGCATTGCTCCGAGCATAAACACAGAATCCTATTCCACAAAAGTGAGATTGGGACTATCATATTGAAAAAAAAAACAGTTAACAGATCAAACATTGTTTAAACCGAGAGCACTCATACCTGCAATAATGTATTTATCCTAATGTTTGAGAATATGGGACATAGATGTTGAAGGTACAAAATGATGCATCAGGAAAATAACAAAGTTCTACCAGCAGCAATATATGTCAACATTGCCAAGATAGCTGGTGTTGGGGCGGTTTCCCCCCAACTCTGTTGACACTTGTTGCATGCTGGTGTACTGGTGGCTGTCACAGTATGCAGCATTGCCCAATGTTGACATGTAGCACCACAGCTGAGCTGACAGGATTGGCTTATGGAGTGTGTGTGAACCTCATAGACCACTTAAAACACTCCCTGCTTGCTCACAAATGCCAATAACAGGATAAGAAAGGATCTATTGAAATTGTAGCATAGAGAATAGAGATAATAGTAGTTGAGATATATGGTAAATGACTACTTGAGCTCATCAACCAGCTTGGCAGCACTGCAAGCAAGCACATCGCAAGTCATGGAGAATGTGGTGACAGCCTGGTATTCAATACCAGCATGGTCACTAGGAGTTAACACGCAAGTTAGCACTGCACCAACACATGCAATAATGATACTCACAGGCTGTTTTGATGCATTCACATGCAAAGTTTGCCAAGGATATTGTACTGGATACCCTCAAGATATGTCTCATACACAGGCCAATAAACCATCTCCGAGAACATGATGGTACCCCTTTTACCCATGTGCCATTCATCAATGGCGCAATCAATCTGGTGTAAATGTTTAGTACAAATATTAAGATGCTAATTTGCAAGGGACTCATGGCTGCCATGACCAGTGCAAGAGCTTGCTTGGGGAACAGCCCAAGAAAGTTGGCATACCAGATGCCATCATCATTGCAATCTTGGAAGAACACATTGTTGATAACATTCTGGATGACAGGGACACAATAAATAAATCTGCAGTTCTCCCAGTCCTACATGCAATAGTCTCAGATAGGCATAGGTAGGATACATTAGTGAAGAAACATACATGATAGATCCACACATTATGATCCTTGAGTTGAGATGCATGCTCCTGGTTGTTCTCCTTGATCTGTGGCTCTGGACTGGACGTGAGATTGAATATCTTTTCAACCTGGATCTGTGCTTTTGTTTCGATCTCACCCGTACATGCCTGATGTTCTGGGAGATCTGATATACTAATGTATGAGTAATTGTACTTGTATATACAAAGCTTGACTCAGGGGTATTATTAATCTGAGGACACTTAGCTGAATGGGTACTTGAGACTCTCTCTTCTGAGGGCAATGACTTTGCCGGACGAGTCTGCTTGCAGCACACCACTGAGCTGAGTTACAAGTGCCTCAGTGTTACACTGTACCATTAGTATTACAGGCCTGCTACATTTGCCAATGGAACTGGGGCTCTTCCGGTCTGAATCTTAGTGGGAATCTGAAAGAATGGTGGATAGAATCATGTATTAGGGGTATCCTGGCATCAGCAAAGTATAAAGCAAATCCGCAAGAAAAGAACAGAAAAATAAAATAAAAGAAAGAGAGAGAAAACATCAAAGAGACACTTTATGGCTTTTTGACAGAGTCCATTCTTTACAGCCAATATGCTCTTTGTCAGATGAGTTGGAGACATCATGCATCCAGGTGATAAGAAAAATTGCCATGGGCTGGCCAGGTGAGAAGTTGTGCATGTTGCTATGGTCAATGCCATCATAGACAAAAAGTGACAAGAGCAAGATATGGGCAAGGAGGCACATAAATTGACCATGGGTGGGACAAGAGGGTAGAGGTGAGGAGTTGATTAAGAATCTGTTTTGTGAAGACAGAATCAATAAATTGAAGTTTGTGAACTGTGATGATTGGCGGTGCAGTACTTATGAGCAATTTGGGTGATATTTTGGCAGGGATGCAACAATAGAGTCCTCACTTTGGTAGATAACCTTTTCACCAGGAAAATATTTAAGAATGAGAGAGTTAATCTCATCAACATCCACATTGCGAGCAGATAAGATAGACTGCTCAGTAAAGTACTGATCTTCTTGTGGAACACCAATGTCAGAATAAATTGTGCTGGTAAGAGACTCCACAGTATTCTCAGGACATTGCAGGTGTTCAGGTATGGTAATGTATCTATTTTCATTTGTGTGATGGCCATGACCAACTTCATGCTGCCATTGAGCAAACTCTCTTTCTTCCTGCTCCTGGCCTAATCACATGTTATGGTGAAGATGGAGAACATTAGGAGCAATATAGTGCCAGAGAGGTGTACACTGCAAGCATGATCCAACAACTTGAGGCCAAGTTCCACAAGGAATAACAGAAAGCATTTATTGGAAATCACCACCAAAAACCATAGTTAAGCCTCCAAAAGGAACACAACTTAACAATTATTATGTAAAGAGTGATCCACTGCCTCAGGTCCATACTTGTGCTGCATAGGTGCTTCATCCCATATGACTACTTCATCAGCTTGGATCAAATCAGCAGCCATAGTTTGCTTGCCAATATTGTATGTAGAGTTTTCAAACAGTTGAATTAGGATTTTGAAGTGAGAGTGAACAGTGTGGCCACCAAGAAGAAGTAGAGATGCAATGCCAGATAATGCCACACAGAGAACAATCTGCCCTTCAGCACATAGAGCATAGCATATGGTGTTGCAGAGAAAGGTTTTTCCTGTACCTCCTGAACCATGCACACAAAAGTAGTGACCATACTGATTTTGGACTGAATCCACAATAGCATCAAAAACTGATTTTTGCTCCTGGTTGAGGTAAGGAATCCTTCCTGCTGCCAGTTGTTGCTGCTCCTCCTGGTCATAGTCCCTTTGTTCTGCAATGAGGTAGTTGCCTATGATAGTGTCCTAATCATGTTGAGATGCAGGCATTTCATATACTGAGATAGCCTTACCACCACTGCTTAATAGTGTTTGCTGCACTAAATAAAGATCATAGTCATACACCTGCTCCTCTGAGGGATTATTAAGCTGGCCAATTATATGAAGGCAGTGGCACAAGTATGACATCACAGATGTGTTCTCTTAATTGAGTCCACAGGTTAATACCTATGTAGGCTGGCAATCCCTCAAAATGGAGACAAATAAAGAGCGGAGTTGAGAGCCGCTTTACATTGCAGAAGCTTTTTGAAGGCACTGAATCCATTCACTGTCATCTTCCAATAGGCCAAGTAAAGTACAGGTTCACCAGAATGTTTTCTGGAGTCCTCTATTAATAGTGCGCAAGTCCTCAAAAGATGTAGCCCCTGCACCAGTAGTTAGGAGAAAGTGGAGATATGTAAAACTGCTCTCCAGAAGAGTATTATGCAAAGTACATGCATCCAATTGCCTCTTCTTATTGGCATGGAAGCCAAACTTGTTCCTTGGGATGCCATACATAGTGGATGTAAAAGGTCTAATATAAGATCTGGCAAGCTGCAGGATCAATGGCATTCCTCTTGAAGTAGGCAGTGAGAGTAGTATCACACGGACCACCCTCTTCAGCCACTGCATGCATGTCTGGTTGCTGTGCTTGGTTCCAGGTTACCAAGTGCATACCTGGAAGATGAACTTGCATGCAAACAATAGTAGGATACTCTTCATATAGGCTGAACTGGAGGATATGCCATAGACCCTCACAAAAAAACACAAAGCAGGCATTAATATAGTGTTTTATCTCATCCAATTGCTTGATCATTTCCATAGTAGTGCAATCATGTCTCTTGTACACATACTTGTAGATGTACTTGATGCACTTGATAGAAACTGTGCTCTTGCAGTTGATGTGACACTGGTATTTCCAGAGAAGATAAGGGATATATACAACTACATGGCAATTGTCCACATCAGCCCCTCATACCTTGAAAGTTCTCCCTGTGTTGCAGCAGCGAGTAGTGGCATAAGCATCAACAGTCACGGTAGTCTCCTCATGAAACTCCTTGGGGAAGTTTTTTGAACATTTCCCATAAACCATGCAAGGTGCAGTTGGATTTTAAGGATCACATGGACCATGAACCATCATAGAAGACGCCAACTCAAATAGTTCAGGCTCCTTGTCTGGATCTGAAAACTTGGAGGATTCCAAATTATCTACATCTTCTGGTGTTCTGAGTTTGTCATCAGGATGTAGAAAAACGATCAGGTACATATGAGGCAGGCCACATTTCTGAAACTCAATTGTAAAGACACATGCAATGGTATAACCTAAAACACCATTGTCAAAAATGTCTTCCAGAAGTGCCTTGGACTTGATTTTGAAAGTGTGAGTGACTAAATCAGGCCTATCCTGAGGTCCTTGTCCAGGCAGACACACATCTTTCACCTCCTGCCAATTTGGATTAGCAGTCATAGTCAAGAAAAAATCAGATCCACCAAAATAACAACAAAGTGCAACCACATCCTGGAGATTTTGAACCATGAACCTGGCACCACCAGCAAAAGAAGAGGGAAGTATAATCTTTTTTTTCCAATATTGTTGCCATCCATGCTGTCATCCTGTACCAAAGCATCCACCACAGCACAATAGACATCTGGATGTAAATCACTTTGATGATTGCGGATCCAGCTCAAACAAGATTGCTCTGATGATGCCCAAGCATCAACTCCAAACTGCTGAAAGAGATGTTGTGCATAAAATATGTGGTTTGACTCAATATGTAGAGGGCAAGTGTGAAGGTGGAATCCATAGTACTCAAGTAGAGTTACATTGTCGGAATAAGGGCATGCATGTAACTTACCATGGTGTTATTTCTCCCCTTTTCACACTGCTTGACTATCTGTTTTGCTCCACCAAAGTGTCCAGCAGTAATTCAGTAATACCATCAGTAAATTTGTTTAAGACTAAAGCTGAAAAAAAAAACTGTGGTAACAACTATAGGGTATGCATGAGTTAATCTTTAGGGATAAGGTAGCTCTATTGTTGACGAAATGTTATTATTTTTGGTCATTTCTTTTTGTGAAATCATGTATTTTTCCCATCATACTTTTGGGAGAAAAGCCAGTATACAAAATGTAGCCAACATATATAGTACTATCAATGATGGAAACACAGTATTCCAGCAGTATTCATGTAAAAGATGCTGTGATGTTTTGCAAGTCCCATGGAACTTTCTCAAATCTAGTGTAATACCAATGGGTGTGGTGAATTTCTACCATATATACCAGATTTCACAAAATAGCTATCAACACTTACAGAACACTGCAGAAGAGTTAATTGTGAGCATGAGAAATACCTGTGGTTATTCTGCAGATCTTTTTGGAGTTTTTGCGGGGATTGCATTTACAGTATGAATGAATTTGGTTTACCCAGGGGAGTCTCCAGTTTATATACTGACCTACATTACATCTTCATAAGTATTTCTGTCATACCTAGAGAACAACTGGCATACCCTGGAATATATACTTTCCTGATTAGTTTCAAGAACATTTTTGCAGTGGAAAATGTAATTGTATGTCAGCATTTCCACAACCTCTGCTATTCAGCAAGAATATCCCCTGGTAAGTCTATGTGAGGTTTAATGTAATGTATTTCCCTGCTGATGTTTCCATGGGATATTCAAAACTGCATTTTGTCTACATCAGTATGCAAGATAAACCTATGATTCATTTGCACACTGGCATTTCCATGTCTTCTATCAAAGCTGATTGCATCTCCAGTGGTATTTTAATTGCTGTTCTGGAAGACCACATTTATACATGGTATTTCTGCAACCACTGGCATAACTACATAATGCTTCCAGGAGTATTTCTATGGCTGACCTGGGAAATGTTTCACATGCACTGGCATTTCCACACCCTTCTCCTGGAACCAACCATATTTCCAGTGGTACTTCAGCCACAACAGTAGAAACTCCAGCCTGTTCCCTAGCATTTCCAAAGTTGGTGTTAAACCAAGTTATATTTCCACTGGTATTTCAGATGCATTTCCAAGACATGGAATACATCCACTGGTATATCCATCCCATTGATTTAAGCATGTGGTGTCTCCACTGCCAATTCAATTGCTATTCCAAACCCCACAATTTATACACTGGTATTAGTTATGCTTCCTGTAGTATTTCTATAGTACACCTGGAATATCCTCTACTACACTGACATTTCCACAAATCTCTGTGAGTCCCAACTGAATTTCCAGTGGTACTTCAATCAAAACTGCGGAAAACTTAATATGCTTCCTAGCATTTCCATGGGTATTTCAGCTGCTACCAAAAAAAAGATAATGTCTACACTGGCATTTCCATGGTCTCTGCTTAACCAAGTTGTATTTCCAACAGTAGTTAATGCCATACCCACGGTAAAGTCCATTTGAACCTTGGAATTTCCGCAAGAAATGCTCAGCATCAATATCTTTGCCATGGTGCTAAAATCATAACACCCAAAATGAATAATGCCTACGTGGATGTTTCCTTACTTTATAGTGGATAGAATAGTTGATAGCATGGCATTTCCACATTGGATGCCAAAGTGGTTTACATTGCAGTGGACAATTCCGTGGCAGAGAATATAGAATTGGACATGTGGGCTGTGGAACCACCACATCACCATTAGAGCAAGTGATCCCATGGAAGTGTTTCTGTAGTATACTCTGCCATAAGTTGTATTCCCACAGGTATGACCAAAAGAAGTGGCTAAGTGCCATTGGAAAGCCAAGGTTATTTCAGAAAATACTCCATAGATTACATTTCAACAATGGAAATACAGGAGGAATTACCCCAACATTACTATTGCTATGGTGGATGACACTGTGCTCCTATGGCATTGCTATGGTCAACTAATGAGGTAGTCAAGAGACTGGTATGGAAATTTTGTTGCATGTAATGTAAGGGTGTAAATGCTACCATGGAGTTATATGCCTCTGCCAGATGTTCCAGGGCTGTCAGGATAGAAACATGGTTGCTTCCGCAGATTTTACCATTCATGCAGTTAAGATTTCTACACAGGTATTTATATGACTGTAGAATTTACCCTACCATGCATGGTATTTCTGCCTCATTATAAGTTACATGAACATTTCCGTTGGCACACATGTGGGGCTACATAACAAATTCCACTGGTAATATATTGTATGATGAGGACCCCAGACACCCAGAAGTTTCTGGGCAGTGTGTACATGGCTGGTATAGCATGTTTGGACTGTTGGAAATATATGTGTGTCCTTCCATAAGTAGAGGAATGATACCCAGAGTACAAGGTAATACCGACATAAAAAATCTAAGAGAGTCCACCTCACGACCAGAAGTAGAGTCTCTTAGACCCTTTTTTGGGGGCGCCTGAAGTGCTTTGCATTATGTTGCTCCTTTTTCCAACTGGACAGCTGAGATGGAACCCTGACATTGGTTACAATGGTGAAAATGTGCAAGAAGCTAACTGCCAGAAGTGTAAGTCCATTTCTACAAATTTTAATTAGTATATATAATATCTTCCACTGGTAATACAGGACTACAGGAGTTTTCCATGGAAAAACATGGGGAGAGGAGAGCAGGGATGAGGAGCTAGGCCAGGGCTGGCCAGTGGATGTGGTTGAGGGCCTGGCATATTTTGCCATTGCCAATGCATCCGTACAGCTAGTGGAACATAGTTACTGTTGTAAAGTGATGCACACAAGGCACCGTCACATGATTACATCACAGGATCCATCTAACTACGTAGTACATCAGCCACTGTTTGTACTCAATACCCATAGTTTATTCCTGTACGTTAGACCTACTAGTCATTGTCCCGATGACTTAATTCACTTGTTTTATCATGCTTTCTTCCCTCCACTCACTCTCCTTCAAAAGTTACACATTGGGTTGTGTCTATTCAGTTTCTAGGGTTTTCCAACATTCCATTGATAAAGTTACCATCCTCTTGGACAAAAATTGAGCCAATGGTAGTAACACTAATCACCAGAATTTTGATTTGAAAACTAGCAGCTAGTATGTTGATGAAAATACAAAAATCATCAACATCTAATCAATACAATCCCACTCGTAGAGAATGGGATCGTAGATGCTATTAGTCTGCTTATATCCAACTAACAAGCTGTTATATATAACAGCCGTAGTACTACAAAATATGTGATTAGGATGGGTTCTGCTGCGTGGCAAGTAAAAACACAATCTGCAATTTGAACTTGCACCTTCACAAAAGTTGTGTTAGTCTCCTGATGTTAGACCTTGTGCAGGGCACAACTGGTCAAATTTTTGGTAAGTCCATTGTAAAAATGTTATAATTGTGAATCTGAACGCAATTATCATAGCATCATGGTAAAGGGGGCAAGTTGTCATTGAAGTTCAGCAACAGGTCTCACACCACGGAAATCTCCATAAGCCAATTGTAAGCCAGTCTTGAATAGATATGCACATCTCAAAAGGCAATAACTCACAGTGATGGCTCAACAACTGGGCCTTCACCCATGTTGCTCTGAGGGTAATGCTCACTGGAGGATGTTCCAAGTGGAAACGACTTGTCATTGCAAACTTGTGATCAAAGCCCAAATTTTTATACATACACACTAACAGCCAGTTAGCTGCTGGTGTATAAAAGAACACACGTGAGGTGATGTAGTCGCGTGCAAAGGCGCTAGCACACACCTTATAAGGAAGTTGATTTATCTACTTCATTGGTAGTAACTGGTGATAGAAATGCCTTTGTATACACCATCACTCTCTAGCTGCTAGTTTTTGAATTGAAATTCCGGTGAATGATCTAGCTAGTCAGAATGGCTAAGTCTGAAATACACTATGTTTGAACTGTAGCTACAACTAGATAGAAGAGTTCTTTGTGCATAGAGTCCATGTATATGATTAGTCTGTGTACATGTAAGTGGCCATGATCCTTACACATGGTTATAGTCTCATGTCTCATCTATTTACAATGGCAATTGACCTGCAATATTAGTATTGCTACTATTGTAAGTGTCACACTTATCACAGTATATGAAAAGAGCAATGCTCTTTTGCTCCTGTAGATCAACTTGAACCTGAACATCAGCCAGCTGACTTTGAGATGTGGGTGTTGACTCCATGTCCACACTGTACACCCTGCAGCAGTGAGTATATCAGATAATTGAGGTGAAGAAATTATAAGTATGGGTGAGCAATTCATTACAGGTGACTGATTGGACAAGACAATGCTAGGTTAGACAATGATACACTCACATTACAATACACTGTGAATGAACTGAAGAATCACCTAAGTATATGAAGCAAGTAATGTGACAATACACTGACTACATAGATTAAGAAGTAACAGTCATATAAACTTACCAAATTATGTGAACTCAAACTCAACTTAAACTTAAAATCAGGTTATGGAGAGTGGGGAGTGGAATGATATTGGAGTGCACTACCTAGACTCATTGTATATACAGGCAATGCTTTCATACATACATGCTAAAGACAAAGATAAAAGAAACAAATTAAAAAATGCTCAGTAGTCATCTAAGATAATAGAATACAGTCAATAAACTGAGGAAAGAAGAACGAAAGAATGAAAGACTTACCATCCTGCTCTTCCTCTAAGTTGGAATGGGACATCTGGTCCCAAGCATACTTGAATTGATTATGACGACTACAAGACATGTTAGACACAGAGGAACAAAAGCAAGTAAACCACTCACAGGTTCGACAATCTAGCCTGCCATTCCACAGCCTGGTGACTTGACTCAGCAACAAGTCCATCCTGGCTGTACCTCAAAGCCTGCATCTCACGAGGACAAAAAACAGGGGGGAGGAAGACAGGGGGAGGACGAGCCGAGGGACCAGGCTCCGAGCAAACAGAGCAAGTAGCTGATGGCGCACAAACAGAAGGAGCTTGCGAAGGACAAGTCTGCAAGTTCACTGGAGGTGGGAGAACTGCTTTGGCCTGAACTCGAAGCTGGGAGGGGTGGAATTCACCACAAGAAAGGTGGGGAGCCCCATGCTTGTTGCTACCCAAGGCAACACGGGTAGCTGCTATAATGCACACATTATTAGTATCAAGTAAAGTCAAATGAATGACAGAGAGACTTACACTTCTTTGAAGGTGGGAGCAGTGGCATTTCTTATAAAAGGATCAGCAAAATTAAAACAAAACAAGATAACAAGATTGACATACCCTCAGGCTCCGACGTAGGGACATAATCCTCATCCTCATTTAAGAGGAGAGTGTCAGGGATGATAGGGTTGACAGCAGCAGGGCTGTTGGCTGGGATACACTGCCTGATGTTGACAACACCTGTGTAAAAGGTCAGTAAGTAACAACAAATAAGATAAGAAGAAGGGATGAACTCACCACCTTCACGCCGGACCCAAAGTAAGACAGTCTTGTCAACAGCAATCACTGAGGGGAGCCAACAAGGCAACCTCGCAGTGTCCCAAATCCTAGCATATTCTTTAAGAACAGAAGAATATTAGTATAAGGCTAACAAAAGGTAGTAAAGCAGAAGACTTACCCTTTGGCCAAGGTCAAAACTCAACTGCAGGTGCAGCCAAATCACCCTGGTAGTCATGTGCATCTGGGTTTTTGCCCACGCGGTCCGGGGCACTGGGCTGCTTGTATGGCTCCACGGGGGACAAGGCAGTGAGGCAGTCGGGCTCATTCTGCTGGAGCCACAGGTAGCACAAGACCCAGAGCGCCTCATGTCAAAGTTCATTGAGGTTGAAGTTGTCAGCACCAAGGGGGCGCTCAGAGATTGTCATAGGCCAGTTATAGATGCATATCTTGTTCTTGATGAAGCTCTTCACAATGAGCTTGTAGGTCATTTGAGAACCAGTATAGCCAGCTGCTTCTGATAGGAGTGTTAGTGATAAAGAACTAATCAGCTGCAAAAAAAACTTACTGTACTTGGCATAAAACATGCCTGTGGCAACAGAATGAAGCTGGTCATGAGGGTTGGCTGGCCTTTCGTCTTCAGCCTGGGCAACCTTCACAAAGGGTTTGGGCAACTCGACCTGCATAGCAGCCTCAAACATCTTTGAACTAAGGCAAGGTATAAGTAATATAAACAAGAGAACAAACTTGAGACTTACTAGAGCATGGAGGCGGCTCATTTGGCAATGCCAGCCATGTTGATGTTTTTCTCCTTCAGGACGGCGAGCAAGGTTTCATCACCAGTAAACCAACCAGTCGCAGAGCCTTGGCTAGGGTCAAGGGACTTGTTGATGCAGAGCCCAACGACCTCAACCTGGTCCATAGTCAATGCCCTGAAAGCCTATTGCTGTGTTAGTGACTTCACAAAAAGAATTGGTGGCCTAGTGAGGACTTACCTCGCCTGCAAAGTAGTCGAGGTTGTCCTGGAGCACAGCACTGGTCTTGCCTGCAGATTTGACATTGACCTTGCTGTACTTAGCCCAGGTTGCTTTGATCTCCTTGATACGAGCGTTAGCAACTTTCCCGCGCCTGTCAGAGACAGAGGCGCCAGGGTCAGAGTCAGCCATCATCTTCTTGTAGAAGTCGCGGACTTTCTCGGTACGTTCAGGATCACCTAGAACATATTAGTAAAAAGCTTGTGTAATGATAAAGCAAAGTACTCACCGGCAAACATGGAATTCACCTTGGCCCAATGATTCGTCATATTGTAGAGACTTGTATGACGAGTGCCACGGATAGCAACTTGCATGATCTTGAGGAGGGAGTTTGCTGACTTGCCAGTGTCGGCGACAAGACCTTCAAGGATGGCTCTGACCCTTGACACCACCCTTGGCCACCTTGGCCTGCTGCTCAAAGGTGAGTGGGCCCTTCTTCTTCAATGGCTTGGCTTCAGATGCCTTGCCCTTACCCTTGTCCGTGGACTTGGGCTTGTCGTTAGCCTTGGCCTTGCCTTTGGTCTTGCTCTTGGGAGCAGGCTCTTCGTTGTCATTGTCATTGTCACTCTTGTTAGTATCGGTGTCTACCATATGTAAGTAAACAACAATGAACATGAATTATAACAAAGAAATGAACGTACCATTGGCTTGTTCCTTTTCCCAATCATCATCAAAAACAGTGCCGGCATTGTCCTCAGACTGCGCAGCCTCCTCCTCGTCTTCATCAACGTCCTCGACATAGGCTACAATGACATCAGATAGACCTCAAAAACAAGATGTGAAAACATACCCTTGTACTTGCCCTTGCCATTCTTTTTGGCCCATGCAGTGAGCTTGATGGAGAACTCTTCCTCGTCATTGTCATCATTGTCATCAACTTCATCTAATTCTACGGAAAATAGACTGTTAGATACACACAGACCATATTACCAAGCAAATACTTACCAGGCGAGCAAGCTCTGGCCTTAACGTTCCTAGGCTGAGGGGGCGGGGAGGCTTCTCATCTTCATCATCGGAAAGCGCAGAGGTGCAGGTGGAGGCAATGGGTGACGAAGGGGGGAGGGAGGATAAACAAAACATGTCAGGCTTGGGGAACCATCAATACATGGTGTAAAAAAAATCAGAAAAATTGGTTACAAACATCCACAATGTCCTTGTCCTTGTCCTTGCCTCTAGCGTCGACATCCATGTCATCAGAGCCATTGTCCTGTAATATACATGGTTAATGATAGCCAATGTCGAATTACAGTGAAATTACTTCAGCTAGCGCAACCATGTCATCATTGTTATCATCATCGCGTGTGTTCTTGCGGCTATAAAGCAATTCAGAAGAATGAAGTGCAAATAAGACATGAGCACTTACGGTCTGCCACGATGTTTGGGCGTAGCATGTTCCTTCACGGTTGCCTTCTTGCTGGCAGCAGTCGCAGTGACTTTGCGAGCCTGAGAGCCTTTGGCCTGCTTGCGAGGAGCGGCGGGCAGGGCTTTGTCGGGACCACGGCGAGCGGCAGTAGTGGTGGGGGTGTCGGCCTTGGCAGCAGCTTTGCTGGTGCATTGAGTGGAGACCATGATGGACAGCGAGCGACTCAAAGTCAATCTCTTGAAGTAGCTGGTGACACGGAGTCAGGCCAGCAATTGGGATAGACACAGAGTCTGCTCCCGGAGCGGTTAAGAGCGAGGAACGAGCGGAGAGAGATATAGGAAGCCAAGGTGCAATGGGGGGATGGAGGTGGAGGCCCATCTTTTATATCTGTAGGGAGCCGCTGTTAGGTAAAAACAAACATATCCCCGGAAAAGAAGGTTTGCACGTACCTTATGCCATTTGGTAATGTGACAATCGAACATTGTGAGAAATGGGATAGGGGGTGGCTGCCTAGAGAACTGGACGTAAGAAAACATACAAGCACCCACGGTGAGGGCACATACCATACAGTGCCGCCCGTGTTGCAGGTATCCGATGATCGGGTATTGGTCTGTTCTGAGATAAGGGAGAAGAAGTCATTCAATGCACACCAGGGTAGACTATATTACGTACTGAACAACATCTGCAGCTGCACGCGCCGGGCACCCTTTCCACCCAATGGCGGCAGCCTGAGCAAAAGAGTCAAGATATGCATCCATTTGTCTAAGCAGGTGGGTGATACAGGTATCCTTGGCGGAATCAATGAGCTTTATGTAGGTCTCTTCATTGTCTGCCTTGAGAGCCTTGAGATGCTCCCTGGTACCCTTCACCGGCTTAGGTGCATTAAGGTGCATCAAGGCGCTCACCAAGAACAACTATGCATCCTGGTGGAACAAGGGGATGAGCAATTGACAGTTGCGATGGTACCGACGTACTGGGCGGTAGGATTAGAGGCAGCCATGGACAACGGAAGCATGAAGGCCCTCACCAGGAACACCGGCCGGACTGGGGATTGGGCAAAGTTCAGCAGGGACCAAAGCTCAGGAAGGTTGTTTTGCAGTGGGGTACCAGTGAGAATGAGACAATAACGGGAGTGGTAGTATTGTGTGAGGGTCTGAGACAATTTGCTCTGTGTGTTCTTCATGCGATGACCCTCATCTACATACCATTAGCGGAGGAATCCATTAAAAATGCTGTAGACGTACCAACAATCTGGGATCCAGACGGGGATACTGGCGGCGTAGAGGTCCTCGGCGTCGAAGGGCTCTGTCAAGAGGCAGCCCATGTACACGGACGAGGCACGAATGATACCATCTTCCTTCTTGAGGTCTTTGATCTTGATCCAGTCGCGGCCCGCCAGGCAGGGGAACGACAAAGTACGACTAGCCAGGTGGACCAGGAGGGAGATATATTGTGCTCGAGTTCCCATTGTAGGAAGACTGCGCATATCCTGCTGGCGTCGAGTTGCCTCTTGCAGGCAGGCCTCCTCTTGGAAGTAGAACACATTCTTCAGTGGACAAGGGAACAATGACAAGGTAGGGGCACTGCCCCTCCTCTCCTCTCTTTTGTGTCCATCCTCTCCCTGATCGTTATTATGGGCTGGATCTCGACAGCAACATGGCTAACTCTGTACATGCGTATCTATCGGACAAATTAACTTTATACCCTGTTGCTTCATACCTCAGGGCTGCACTGCCTCTTCACCCCAATGGAGGTCACGAGCGCAATGGTCTGTATGGTTTTACCGGGGCCCTCACCAGGGGCAGCTATGTGTCCAGCAGGACAGGGGATTGGGTGGCTGATGACAAAGTTCAGCAGGAACCAAAGCTCGGGGAGGTTGTTTTGTAGTGGAGTGCTGGTGAGAATGAAATGGTAATGTGAATGATAGTATTGTGTAAGAGTCTGAGACAGCTTGCTCTGCATATTCTTCATGCGGTGGCCCTCATCTACATCCCATTAGCAGAAGCATCTGCTAGAAACACTGTACATACCAATGATCATGTGGACCCATTTCATCTTGCTGAGAATGGGACGATCCTTGATAATGTACTCATATGTTGTCAGGAGTACTTGAAATTGGCCCATGCAGAGGTTGCCCTGTTGGCCATTTTGGGGGTCTGGATATGCCAGCAACAACAGTTAGTTGTGTCATGAGGAAGTGCCCGCCGCCGTGTAGGGCCACCCTTGTACGAGATCATATTGACATCCATGGCCTACTCAGGGAGTCCAGGAGGACTGCCATGGTGGGGGACCTTGTCGACTATGGCAGAACAGGGGGCTGGGTGATCGATGATGGTGATGATATGCCGATGGATTGGGGCAGTAAGGATGGTGGTAGGGAGGCGTAATGTGAAGATTGCTCCTGAATTGGGTCAAAATATCAGTCGCGTCCTCCGCAAGAGAAACCATATAGAACTCACATAGGACCTTTCCTATGGGAGAAGATTCTTGACAGTCTGCGGGGACATGGGCGAACTGGGGATACTGCTGAGGGCCCTGGAAGGAGATTTTCTGTGCCTGGAATGTGAAGGCTAGGGTCCTGAATTCGGCCGAAATATCAGTCGCGTCCTCCGCAAAAGACATCATACAAGACTAACATCGATGGCAAGCTAGAGCCTCTCCTATGGGAGATTCTTGACGGTCTGAGGGACATGGGCCCAATAGGGATATTGTTGGGAGTCCTGGAGGGAGATGTTCTGAGGCTGGAATGAGTCAGCCATGCTCCCAACTGCCCACTGCGCCAATTGGAGCAAGATGTTGTGGTACTTGTTGCCGCATTAAGTAACCGGAATGGGTGGCCCCTATCTTGGACCACCCGGACACTAAACATACTTACAACTAGATAGAGGCATTTGATGCTCATAAAAAGTGATATGGGCAATCTAATCACTGTGAATAAACCTGAATCAAAAGATGAGCAGAAAAGAATCAGAGGAAACTTACCAATTACTGCAATGATGTTGAGTACTATGGATATGAGGCACATAACTTGCATTTCAGCTTGAATAGATTTGTGAGGGGAAACTGTATCATTCAATTACATAGGATATATCCTGTGGTTGTTCATAATATGCTTGTAAGGTGGTAATTTATCAGAAGCTATCTCTAATAAAATTATAAGCATAGAGGATTATAGTATGTGCTTCAAACACACAGTGTGGATCAAACATGATGTAGCCACACAGTTTATTACATTCAAGTAGACCCCTTAAACACACAAATGAACAAAGTAGTCTATATGAAAATGTGAGGGTCTGTTGTATTGCGCTTGAGGCCAAAACAGAAGTGCAATGTGCCTGATATATTATACAATGTACACTATGCTTTTATTTGACACATTCTCCATGCTAATAATTTCATAGGGATAGCTTCTGATAAATTACCACCTTACAAGCATATTATGAACAACCACAGGATATATCCTATGTAATTGAATGATACAGTTTCCCCTCACAAATCTATTCAAGCTGAAATGCAAGTTATGTGCCTCATATCCATAGTACTCAACATCATTGCAGTAATTGGTAAGTTTCCTCTGATTCTTTTCTGCTCATCTTTTGATTCAGGTTTATTCACAGTGATTAGATTGCCCATATCACTTTTTATGAGCATCAAATGCCTCTATCTAGTTGTAAGTATGTTTAGTGTCCGGGTGGTCCAAGATAGGGGCCACCCATTCCGGTTACTTAATGCGGCAATGAGTAGTGCAGGCACAGGATAGTACAACAAACTAAAAAAGATATTGAAAGGCCAAGATGCGAGACAAATACTTCCTGCGTCAAGCTCCTAAGTGGCTAACAATGGAATGTGGATGGTCTGATCATCATACACTGATGCAGTTTCATAAGTGCTATGCAAATGTTACATTCAGAGACATGTTAATCTAAACAGATGACCACAGCAATGACCACTACGCACATACTTGCAGTTGAGCCTCGGAGGTAAAACAATCAGTAAACTTTGATGCAGATAGATAGAATCCCCTGTCCCCACAGTAGCCTGCGTAACGGTGACACACACAAAGACCAAGGCCCGAAGACCGCCCCACACAGCTTTTCCCAATGCAATCCACCCACCTGAAAAGCAACGCGTTTTCACGGAGCACTCAACATTACTGGCAATGCAGGACGAGTGGGGTTAACACATCGCAATCCACCCAGCGGCGCATCCCTCAGGACACAGACCCACTGTTACCTGTAAAGCTGCATGCTTTCCCAGAGGAAAGCTCAACATTACTGACGCACAGGAAAGGTGGGGTTCAACACAACACGATCTGCCCAGCGGTGCGTCCCTTGGGACACAGACCCGCTGTTACTCATCGAGCTGCGCATTTTCACGGAGACTCAACATTACTGACAGCGTGTGTACTGGCGGGGTTCAGCACAATGGGCTGCCTATCGCGAGTGTTGGCAATACCGTGGCTGCTAGACAACAAGTCTAGTACAAGGCGGCGTTGCGAAGACATCCACCCATGTGTGGTGGCGCAAAGCCTGCCTGCGAGGGATAAGAGGGGGGGTGTGTACCAGTTTGTCTGCGCCTTTCGTCCTCCTCTGTGTCAATTCAGCATCTCTGGGGTGGGGCTGTTGAGGGCTGGGGATGGGCTATTGAGGGCTGGGGATGGGCTGTTGAGGGCCGGGGATGGGGCTGTTGAGGGCTGAGGTGGACGTGAGGAGGCCGAGGTCGAGGAGAGGGCGGGTGTGACTTACCTGCCGCCCATGACAAGCATCGTCATTGTCGTCTCGTCAGAGATCGAGTGACAGGGGTGGTCTGGAGGGTGGGCGTGAGGCAGTTGGGTGGAGAGGTGGGTGGGCATGGCTCACCTGTTGCTGATGACAGTCATCCTTGTCCTCATCTTTGAGCTTGAGGAGGAGGGGGGAGCTGGGTGAGAAGGGTGAGGGAGGAGATGGACATGGAGGTGGTGGTGGTGGTGCTTACCGTTGGTGGGCACGTCCACTCCCCATCTTCTCCTTGCTTGAGGGCGGCAATGATGGGGATGGTGGCGGGCGAGCACAATATCAGCGACGAGGGGGATCACAAGGGAGGGAGGGAAAGGGAGGGAGAAAGAGAGGGAAAGGGAGGGAGAAAGAGAGGGAAAGGGAGGGAGAAAGAGAGGGAAAGGGAGGGAGAAAGAGAGGGAAAGGGAGGGAGAAAGAGAGGGAAAGGGAGGGGAAGGGCGAAGATGGGAGGGAGGTTGTGGGAGGGGATCAAGTGAGGGGGAAGAAGGAAACGGGAGAGGGAAAGGGAGAAACGCAGTGAAGTTCCAATATGGAAACTCCACTGGAAACTTCCAGGCCTTTGTCGGCTATTCTAAGGTCAGTACCGCTTTAATTAGGCGAGTGGTAGTGCAACTCACTCTCAAATAAGCTTAGTTCCACCGACACATCATTTAATTTTCAGCCTCAGATTTGATCGCAGCTCAAATTACGATGACACGTCCATTGTCGTTTCCCTTAGCTCGCCCATTCCTACTCTCTCACCCTCTCACCTCCCGTTTCCCACCTCCCCTTGTCTCCTCCCTCCTTGCATCTGCCCTTGTTGCCACCCCCTCTCCTCCTCGTGTCTGCCCTCGTTGCTGCACCCCTCTCCTCCCTCTCCTCCTTGTGTCCAAGCCACGCCCCCTCTCCTCCCTCTCCTCACGTCCAAGCCGCACCCCAAGCTGCCCTCAAAAGGCAACTCCCCCCTCCAAGCCCTCCTCAAAAGCAAGCCCGCAACGTGCTTGACGTCAAGCCCACGTCGGGACCACCCTCAACCCTCCCGCTCCCTCTCAAGACCATCCAGCCAGTGAGCCATCCCCTCCTCTTGGTCTCTCAGCTCCACGGGCAGGCTTTGCACCACCGCACAATAGTTGTCCTTGCAATGCCATCTCGTCCTAGACTTGTTGTCTAGGCGGCCACGACAATTGCTGACACGCGCGATAGGCGGCCCTCACGTTGAACCCCACCTATCCCGCGTGTTAGTAATGTCAAGCTTTCCTCTGTGAAAGTGCGCGGCTTTACGGGTAACGGCGGGTCTGTGTTCTGAGGGACACGCTGCTGGGTGGATCACGCTGGGAAATGCTGTGCGGGGCAGCCTTCGTGTCTTGGTCTCTGTTGTTTGTTGGCCGCCATTGGGACTGAGTGCCTTATATTGTACTATAGATTGTACTATAGCTCACCTACATGTTGTCTATACTCTCTTCTCCATGCTCTCACCACATGGAGCCTTGTTCATCAAGTCTACAGTACCCCGCGCACCCGAAGCCAAGTCTTTGTGTATAATGTGCGTGTTTTTTCTTTCTTTTTTCTTCTTTTTCTTTCTAACATGAACCATTATCCATAGGTCCAGCTATCATACAAAAGCCACTCGCCGTGAGGTTACCAAATGTCTGACAGCCAACTGGTATTGTGACCCCGCAGAGTTCGACCCACGTACATGGAGCCCGCACCGTTGTCCCAGTGGTAAGTTGTCCAATACATCTTCAAATGAATATACACTAATCTCATTGCAGGCTATTGGAATGCGTTCGACGCATACACCCTCACCTCCAACAACAAAATGCTCATCACGTCCCCCAACACGCCCTTCACACCCAAGTATCGCAATACCGAGCAGGAGCTCTGCGCTCGCAAAGATGGCCGTCTCGGCCAAGCCGATCCCTTCCAGTGGCCCACTGCCTTCCACCCTTCCATGCCGTGGGTTGTGCTGTACCCCTGACAGTCTTACTTCGAAAACGATCCCAAGTTGACTTTCTTGTGGTGGACACCCACAGACAAGGACATCACCTGGAGTCACCCGGAGCAACACACCACAGGCACCCTCGACGGCATTGGCTTCTCTAGACTCCGCACCCTCTTGGACGTTGCTGAGGAGCGTCACAGACAACATCAGAACATCAAGCCCGTTGTCCTCAACGACATGAACTGGCTCAAGCGCGCGCTTCGGCACCTCTACGACATCCTCTACCAATTCCGACGAGTTCCCGGTGACTATCGTTCCATTCTCCTTGACGTCACCAACTTCCAGCGTGGGGTGATGGACGTCTGGGCGTTCACCAAGTGGTGGCTCCGTATCAAGGCGGGCTTCTATGCCCGCGACTCATCTCTAGTGGAGGGGTTGAAGAAGGAGGACAGCATAACCCTCGCATTGCCCATGTATATGGGGTGCTTCACCAACGAGTCCTTCCACGCCAAGGATCTCTACACTGTCAGCATCCCTGTCTGGATCCCCCACGGCCTCACCCAATGGACGGCGGAGACAAATTCAATCCATTTCGTCAACACCACCCACCCCCACGTTGTCATCGAGGACTACCATGAGGACGGTGTTGACCTTTGATTTCCTGTTCTCCACCGTGGCAAGCCTGGCCTCCTCCGCATCATTGCTGCTCACTTCAGCTACAGGCACAGTGCTGAGGATGAGACCTCCTTCAAATACAATGGCATCTCGGTCGACCTCCTTGGCACTGGCCTCAAGGATATTCTCGAGCGGGGCACGTCCTTTGCCACCAGCAGGCGCTCCTTGGCTATCCCCCCTGCAGCTGGACCTTCTCGCTCCAAATCATCATCCAAGTTGTCAAAGTCCAATTGTCCCGCTCCTTGTAAGTGTCTTCATACTTTTGCATACCTTCTTGCCAGTCTAACAATCATACATAGACCTCTGTTCTGGTGACAAGTCCAAGCCTAATGGCAAGCCCAACGTCGCCAAGGAGCAACGCAACAAGTGGGATGAGCTCGTCAACAAGTTCTGGCCCACTGCCTTTGTCGACCGGACTGGGGCAATGTGTGGTGCCAACAAGTCTCCTGGGCATGTGCGTAATATCGCCATGAATGGCGGTTACTTCTTCCCCAACCTGGCCATGTTTTGTGGTGTCACCGACCAATGGTAGCACTTTTGAGCAGAGGTGTGCTATCACTTACAGTAGTACTTCTCTTGGTAATACTTTTTATGCATGTCTTTCAGGACATCAGCTTTTACCCCCATTCACACCCCCATTCCCTTTCCCCTCGTAGCCATAGGTAGCACCTTGTTATCAGACTGGTTTTAATCAAATTTTCTTAATATGACTGACATTTTAAAGGAAGTACCATAAACCATTCAAGTGGTTTTGTCTTGATAGAGGTAATACCTTAGTCTTTATAAGTACTACCTTATATTTTGCAGACAATCCTGTACATAAAGAATGTAGTACATATAGTAGTACTTTGTTCATAGAATTGTGTCATTGAAATGCAAGGTAATACCTTGTTAACATCTTGTATAAAATGTGAATGGTCAATTATCACAATTATCACTTGAATTTGATCAACTTGATCAACATGTCAGGGACTAATTGAGAGCATTTCAGCCACTCAAATTGTCAAATTGTTAACACTGACAAATTAATCAATTTACCCTCCTTGTTTTTACCATGATTTTGACATGAGTTTAGCAGGAAAACAGGTATAAAATAACCTTTGGTCAGCATGCAAACAAGTTAACATAATTTGCAAAACATATTGGATGTTTTTCTCTTTTATTTTTGCATGATTTTCCCACCATTTATTTGATTGATTTTATACTTATTTTGGGTGAGAAACATGGTTCAAATATGGTAAATGTTTATGGCATGTTTTGTTGCCTATTTTGGCCAAAATCATTGTCTAATGCCCCCAGCGAACACAAGGACCAATGTACATGGCAGTGGCTTGAAGGGCAACTACTGCACATGTGGACCATGTCAGGGTACTGGCAAGGTGCAAGGCAATCAATGGCAGTGTTCTGATCTCAAAGATCACAATCAACAATGCACTACTCAAGAGTTCAGAGAAAAAAGTGGTGTTGGAGTATGCAAATAAGGTATTAAGGGAGGCATTGGTGGAGGACATGAAACTACCAGAGGGTGTGTTGTTTGTATTTGTAAAGAGATTGAAGAGCAGAAATATCATCCTACACACGTTTTTTACACTACATGCTACTTTGATTATACCACTGGCAATACTAGAAAACAATAGATTCTACCATGGATTTGATTTTTGTTTCCTGGATTATTGGTTGACAAGTGGTAATTCCAGTGTAGCATTTTTATACAATGTGTCAGCATGGTTTTACCAGGAGCAATGCTGGAGGAAACAATATTCTAACACAGACTAAAGATGTGCTTCCTGAATTATTCTGGGCACCAATGGTATTTCCCCAGGAATACATTACAGGCATGCACCACATTGGTTATACCACTGGTCTTCCTAAAATACACTATGTTCTACCATAGACTGGATCCTTGCTTTCTGGATTATTCTGTATTATGTAGGTATTTCCTGTACAGTGTATTCTGTACCACACACTAAACTGGTTATACCAGTGGTTTCCCCAAAACAGGGCATATTCTACCATGGACCATATTTTTGCTTCCTGTACTTTCCCCAATACATAAGGTATTTCCTGTACAGTGTATTCTGTACCATACATAAAGTTGGTTATACCAGCGGTTTCCCCAAAACAAGGCATACTCTACCATGGACTAGATTTTTGCTTCCTGTACTTTCCCAATACATAAGGTATTTCCTGTGCAGTGGATTTTATACCATACATAAAGTTGGTTATACCAGTGGTTTCCCCAAAACAGGGCATATTCTACCATGGACCATATTTTTGCTTCCTGTACTTTCCCAATACATAAGGTATTTCCTGTACAGTGTATTTTGTTCCACCCACTAAATTGGTTATACCAGTGGTTTCCCCAAAACAAGGCATACTCTACCATGGACTATTTTCCTTCTTCCTGGATTACTGGTGCACTAATGGTATTTCTCCAAAAATCTTTTCTAAACTGCACACTACTTTGGTTATACCACTGGCAGTATGCAATTAAAATAGAATCTACCATGGACTAGATCTTTGGTTTTTAGATTCTTTGTTGATCACCAGGTAGCACTTTCAACCCCAGATAGTGTCATGGTTATACCAGTGGTCATATTATAAGAAACTGAACTCTTCCATAGTATTGTCCAAAACAACATATTTGACTGTAGTTGTTTCCATAATATTACCCAAATGTTTTTCTTTCCATCAGCAGTTATTTACCACCAAATGCCATGTAAAACAACATAGCAGTCATGTCAATAGCTCCCTATTGTTTCCATGGTCATTAATGTGGACTCTTATTCCATGTTTGAAGAGCTATATAGCACTCCTGGTATTGGAAAAAATGTCTAAAGACTTCCATCAAAGCTACTCAAATTTGATTTTCACTGGTGTAGAGGTTGAACAATGCCAAGCACATATACTGCAGTATGAACTACCTTTTTGGACAATTCCATGAGATATACCAAGGTAAAACAATGTCATCTAAATACTTTTTGGTTAGAGTAGACGGGTTGATAAAACAGTCTGGATGGTATTTAGTTGGATATATGAATTGATTGTGGTACTACCTTTTCTGGTATTATTGTGTTACCATTTATTCTCATTGATGGTATTATACAAAAGCCCAGGACCCCTGGCACCTGGAAACTTCCACAATCACCTTGACTCTAATTCCACAGCCAAGGATCAGTACCAGAAAATGTTGGTAATACCATGATTTAGGGGCCTAGTAGGATAATATTTTGTGCCAATAATTAGCCTATTGGACCCCCATTTTGGGGGTGACTGAAGTGAGGTATGTGGGCACTTTGATCATGGCAAGTGGGCCAAACTTTGCAACAAGGTTGCCTTTCCGTGTTGGATAGCTGATGAGAGGTGTGTCATCAGGTTATTAACTGCACTGGAAATACCATTGGTACATAAAATGTGTAAACCTAGTTCATGGTAGAGTTTATTGTATTTTGGTGCTACCTGTGGTATAGTATTGATCATATTGGATATAGAAAATAACACATTAGAAACATTGCATCAGTGTGAAACAGTCCAAAAGCATGTATCTAGTCCAGGATATATTCTATTTTCTTGTTGTATTGCCAGGGGTACTACCACATTGGTACATGGTATCATTGTGGACTTTGCTGGAAATACCATGTATATATGGGATAATCCAGGAATCACAAATTGTCTATTGTAAAAATAGGCAGTGCAGTGGTATGTATTTGTGGTGAATATAGATTACCATCTATCCCTCAGATATATTCCTGTGATGGTAATTGGAAATCAAACAGTCCAAGAATGTATATTCTCTTGTAGTATTATACTGTTGTGAAGAGTGTGTCAAAATAGGATTGTTTTGTTGTAACAGTGCTACTTTACATGCTGCAGAAAGCAAAGCATATCAGCTTCCGGCAATCTTGCAAGCATATTCCATACACATGACTACTGGCAATAGCAAATGCCCAGCAACAATAATGGCAACATTTAAGCTGTGATATTATTCAATTTGTTTAGTCTAGAAATCAGTTTAAGCATATGTGTTGATTTGATTGGTTTATACTACCAGAATATGATAGAATTTTGATGGGATCCTGATGATTGTTTAACAGTACTAGAACATTACAAAGCTCTTAGCAAAGATACTGTAGTTCAGCCATAGTGCTAGAATACTACCAACCTTGTCATGAATCGACCATAGTCTAACTACCATAGCAGAAAACTACAACAGGTGTAGTAAATATTAAGCTACATATAGTACTGGAACACCACAAGTATAGTGGCAAACATGCTATGGTCCAACTAGTACCAGAACACTACAAATCTTGTAGTAAAAATCCTATAGTCTATTCATACTACTAGCACAATAAGGTAGGCCGCACTCATAACCAACATCATCACATGCTGTTCACATGGGCTGTTTTGGCAGGGATTCTGAAGGGATTTTGCTGCCCACCCGCCAAATTTGTGTCACATGTTTGTCATGTGATGATGTTGATTATGAGTGCAGTCTACCTTACTAATACTGTAATAAATATGGTATATGACAGAATGCATTGGGAAGTTGTAGTGGACTAAGTTCATATAACAATTTCCCACCCACCAGAACTGTGTCCACAACACTCGCCTCGTGGATGTTACAAGGTTCACATGTACATAGGCCTATTTGTCCCTTCTTAATTTTGGTAGATGGGAGAAGTGCAGGGAAATGTCACACTGCAGTCCCTATGGTGATATTCCAGGCTACACAGGCTATTCACTACTATTCCTTGCTACATGTTTGACAGGTGTCAGTCTCTATTACCTCTTTTTCTCTTAGTTCCATTGCTACCTGTCTACCTTTGATATTCCTTGATGTTTCTATCATTCTGCAGTCACTACAATAACACATCCAATGTTTTAGCTCATGTTTAATTACTAACTATCTGTTCCCTCTACATGTTCCTTACTTGTTGTACATTACCCCTGATTTCAGAGCAGTAGTATAAATATTGGTAGAGTTCTGGTTGTATTTCTCAGTATGAATATTGACTTACTTCTGCCCTCTACTCTCCTTGACCTCTAAGTCCTTCCCACATTCCTACTCCAAGTGCCTTCTGTGGTACTTGCATCTTCATCTGACTTCAAGTCTCTTTCCCCTTTGTACTTTAGTACCTTCCCATCACCTTCTGGTACTTATGGCACTTATACTCCCTACATGCTGGTCTTCCAGTATCATTCCCATCTCCCTCCATGTTGCTACAGTTGACTACTCGCCTTTCACTCTCCCTCCAAATCCCTATGTTAGCATTCCAGGACGTGGTATCCCTAGTGGAGCTTAGCTTGAACATCCTGTACATTTCCAGGCAGGCACAGAGTTAGTAAAAAACAGAGTGATTCTTACAGCTGTTGTTGAAGTCCCCTGAAGCAAAAAGGAGGTGGAAATCACCATTTTGCACATATAGTACACATACATGGAGCATTGCCCAACATGGGGTACAACCCCATGAGCATAAATAGAATCATCATTAAAGAACAACTTGGTATAGTCCGACACTAACAGCAAACACTACAAATGTTGTAGTAAACTTGGTATGGTCCAACATTAGTAACAAACACTACAAATGTTGTAGTAAACTTGGTATGGTTCGACATTAGTAGCAAACACTACAAATGTTGTAGTGAACTCGGTATAGTCCGACACTAGTACCAAACACTACAAATGTTGTGGTAAACTTGGTATGGTCCGACACTATTAGCAGACACTACAAATGTTGTAGCAAACTTGGTATAGTCCGACACTAGTGAGCAAACACTACAAATGTTGTAGCAAACTTGGTATAGTCCAACACTGTTAGCAAGCACCACAAATGTTGTAGCAGACTTGGTATAGTCCGACACTAGTGAGCAAACATTACAAATGTTGTAGTGAACTTGGTATAGTCCGACACTAACAGCAAACACTACAAATGTTGTAGTAAACTTGGTATGGTTCGACATTAGTAGCAAACACTACAAATGTTGTAGTGAACTCGGTATAGTCCGACACTAGTACCAAACACTACAAATGTTGTAGTAAACTTGGTATGGTCCAGCATTAGTAGCAAACACTACAAATGTTGTAGTAAACTTGGTATGATCCAACATTAGTAGCAAACACTACAAATGTTGTAGCAAACTTGGTATAGTCCGACACTAGTGAGCAAACACTACAAATGTTGTAGTGAACTTGGTATAGTCCGACACTAACAGCAAACACTACAAATGTTGTAGTAAACTTGGTATGGTCCAACATTAGTAGCAAACACTACAAATGTTGTAGCAAACTTGGTATAGTCCGACACTAGTGAGCAAACACCACAAATGTTGTAGTGATCTTGGTATAGTCCAACACTAGTGAGCAAACACTACAAATGTTGTAGTGAACTTGGTATAGTCCGACACTAGTACCAAACACTACAGACCTTGTAGTAAACTCGGTACAGTCCGACACTAGTAGCAAACACTACAAATGTTGTGATAACTTGGTATAGTCCGACACTAGTACCAAACACTACAAATGTTGTAGTAAACTTGGTATGGTCCAACATTAGTAGCAAACGCTCGAAATGTTGTAGTAAACTCAGTGTAGTCCGACAATACAAGACTTTGTCACCATTATATGATCATGTTGCATAGGATGAGTAGTTAAACTTGATCGAATCACATATAGATCAATGACAAGTGGGGCAGGGATAGCATTGGGATGCACTACATACTCTCACAGATAATGGGTACTAATTGCCCGATGTACATAACAAAAAAATGAGGTAAAAAAGTTCATAGGAGATAGAGATAATATGTGAAATTAATAGGCTGTCGTAGCACCAAGTTAGCAATAAGATCCTATGTAGAGTGACAAGGCCACTAACCATTGGGATAACCTTGCTCCTCGTCGGAGTATTCATCAGCCCTGCTCAAGAGCATTAGTTATATGATCAACAAACTAGAAATACTAATATGGCTTACATGAGGCGAGTCTCGGTAGCACCGCGGACATAGTGACCACTGGAGGCTACTTGGACTGAACCAGAGGCATACCGGCCAGGAGCTTGCCCACTGTGGTAGGGTTGGATAGAGGGGCCTGCCTCACGAGCAGCTGATGAAGGCCGAGCAGGACCCAGTGCAGGTGGACGAGTGTCCATACGAATAGGAGGGGGAGCTACCACTGGCATGTTCCTGGCCTGAGGGGCCTGGGATGAGTGAACATCTCCTCGAGACTGCACACGCGGCTGCTCGAGAGCCCGAGCCAGGTGGTGGGGTACCTGCTGTTGGGTTGAGGGCTGAGATCTGACACTTTGCTGTGGCTGCATGGTGCGTGGTTTGAGCCCGCCTGGTGCAGCAACTGGCCCATGAGCATGACGGGCAGTGGATGCTGGATATACAACATGGTTAGTAATCATCGTAACTCAAATGACAGGAGACTTACACTGGTGCACCATCTCAAGGGCTTGTTCTAAATTAGATGTCATTAACAACTCGGCATAGAAAAACAAAAAGAACTCACCAGCAGGGTCAGAGGTAGGTACATAATCATCATCAGCGTTGTTGAGCATACCATCCTCAACAACAGCAACAACAGTGCTGGGTCCACCAGAGGGGATGTTTTGCATGAAATTCTTGACGCCTGTGTCCATAAATATTAATAACAATGATCAAATAATAAAATGAACTAACTTACCATTGCAGCGGTAGACATACATGAGGTATGTTCCATCGTTGGCAATGACAAGTGGGAAGTAGCCGTCATCACCTTTCTTCCACTTGGCTATGGCAGCTATATCCGTAATGTAAGTTAGAATAGTAAAAGCAAAGTGATTATAGCTAGACGTACCACTATTCCACCGGGTGAATGTGAGCGGATCGGCCTTAAGGTCCTGCTCATAGTCTGTTGGGTCTGGACTCTTGCCAATACGGTCAGCCTCCCTCGGGGTCTTGTAAGGAAAAGATGGCGAAAGGGTCCTGATTCGATCAGGCTCTTGTGTCTCTACCCAATCATGGGTGAGGGCCCAGAGAGCCTCGTGTTGAACATTGTTGAGGACAAACGCGTCACAGCCGAGTGGGCGATCAGCCATACACATGGACCAATTCCGAAGGACTATAAAAAAAGCGACGGCCTTGGAACAGTAGTTCTTGTAGACCATGCGAGTGCCATCAAAGCCAGCTTCCTCTGCCAAGCAACAAAGTCAGTACATGAATACAGTCTCAGTTGAGGCTGACTTACGGAACTTGGTGCACAGCATGTTGGCTGCCACAGATCGGAGCTGATCACGGGGGCCTGGGCTGTTGGCTTCGTAAGAGGGGCCAGCAGCAGGGGCTAGGGTAGCAGCAGCAGGGGCTGGGGCAGCGGCATGAGCACCAGCAGCACGGGCAATGCGAGCAGCACGAGCAGTATGAGCAGCAGGAGCAGGAACAGCGGCGATAGTGGGGTCTGCAGCCTTGAAGATGTTGGGCAACTCGACCTGACAGCCGGCCTCTATGCTGTGAGTACTGTAATGAGAACACGTCAGCATTAAGAGAGCACAAACATCGAATCAATAACTTACATGCTGACTGCGCCCATGTATTTGGTAATGGACTGGATATCGATGCCCTTCTTCTCGAGGACCGCAAACAGCGTCGGGTCACTAGCAAAGATGGCACTGCCGGCTCCTTTCACATTGAGGCGTTTGTTAATGCAGATGCCGGTGACTTCAATGTTATCCATTGCCAGCGTGCGGACAGCCTGTCAAAGTATAAGTGTCGCGTTGTAAATAATAAGAGACGAGCTTACCTCATCTGCGAAATAACGGAGAACATGGCCGAGGGACTTGGGTAGCTTGCCCTGGCCACTGATGATATGCGTCAGGGAGTTCTCCCATGACTCTCTGGCAGCGGCGATAAGTTCCTGGGCAGCCGTGCGGACTTGTGCTGTGGCCTGAGAGTCCTCCTTGGCATTCTTGATGGTCTTGTTGTACCAAGCACTGATCTTGGCGTTGCGATCGGGGGCATCTAAAGGTCTACGTTAAGTACACGACTGCAGAAAAACAGCAGCATACATACCTGCATACTTGCCGATCTTTGGGCCATAAGCTTGGAACATGTTGTGGAGGGTGGTCTGGCGCGTGCCCGGAACCACAATCTTCATCGCCTTGAGAAGGGTGACGACATCCTTGCCAGTCTCATCCATCAGCGGGTGAAGAATCTTGTTGATATCGGCGCCGGCCTCAGCAATTTGCTGGATCTCGTTGCGACTCAAAGGCCCACGCTTGCGACTGCCTTTGGACTTGGCAGTAGGCTCGGGGACTGCGGTTGTGGTCAGACATAGGGTAACAATGGCGAATGTATGCTTACCCTCAGCGTCCTCATCCTCGTCGCGGTCTTCGTCAACATCATCGCCAAGCTCGGCTGTGTACACGTTAGTATGAAGCACAAAAAAAAAGGACAAGTCAACACACCTTGGTGTGTGGCTTTGCCTTTGCCCTTGCCTCTCTTCGCGTGAGGCTCCTCTTCCTCTTCATCATCCTCGTCAACATATCCTATGGGTCATCAATACAGATGAACATAGTGGAAATAAGGCACGTTACATACCTTGAGTTGGGGCCTTGCGTCCGCGCTTACGTTTCACAGAGGTTGCCTCCTCTTCTGGTTCTTCGTCATCTGCCTCCTCGACATAGCCTATTGGTCGCGAATGAGGAAGGGGTTAGAGCAATAGATAGATGCTACTTACTTGGGGGTTGGGCCTTGCGGCCGCGCTTTGACTTGACAGGGGGCTCATCCTCGTCGTCAGAGGTTGGAGGCGGTGGGGATGACGGAGGGAGAGGAGAGAGTCGCGATGTGTCAGGCTAATACTATCAGCAATCAAAGTCGAAAACATAATGATGAATGCATACATACATCATCGTGGTCGTCGTCCTTTTCTTCCTCATCAACGTCCATGGCGACATCATCAGCTTCGTCGACCTTCAAAAAAATGTAGTGAGGAAACGAGAAGATATAAAACCACGACGGACTTACCTCTTCGGCGGACGGAACATCTTCATCATCGCATACTTGCTTTCGGGGCCTTGAAAACCCATTAGCCTAGGTCAAAGTCAATCGGGCGAACAGAACTTACCTCCCACGACGGGCGGCACCAAGTTTCTTCCCAGCTGCTTTTTTACCAGCAGCGGACGCGGCAACGGGGGTCTTGCGCGTCGAGGTACGACGAGGCTGGTTGGGAGCAGCGGTAGGAGCCTTGAGGGGCGCGGTCGCGCGTGTGGAGCGGGTGACTTGAGGCATGGCGATTGTGGGACAAACGGAGCGACGCAAAGTCAACGTCCTAAGGATGTCGGTGACACGAAGTCAAGCCGATAGATGGGATAGACTCGAAGTCTGCTCCCTACGGGTTGTAAACGGAGGAGCAGTAGGTTAAGAATGCTGGTCAAGAGAGGATGGGCGACGAAAGAAAAAAGAGCTGCTTTTTATCATCTTTACGACCATGTCAGAAAGGAGTAAGACGGCTAGCAAACAAAGTTCGTACTCACGGGGACGCGCAGTATTCTCAAACGGGAGCCTCAACGACAGCAATGGGCCCAGAGCGTGTTGACCCCGCGTTGCAGGACGTAATCGTTGCATCAAAGGAGCCATAGTGATACGCAGGCGCTGAACTGGGCGCGGGGTGAAGGTGTGCGGAGTTTCGGTGCGAACACCGAGCGCGTGATATGTTCCCCCTAGAATAGCGAAACAGGGTCAGAGACCAATCCCTTTTCGAAAATAATTACATACCATGCGCGCCAGAACATCTACCTCCAGGACCCTCGGGAGTATACCTAGTTCGCCCATGTCCCGCGATCGTCAAGAAGCTCCCATAGGAGAGGCTCTAGCTTGCCATCAATGTGAGTCCCATATGGTTTTTCTCTTACGGAGGATGCGACTGATATTCCGGCCCAATTCAGGAGCAATCTTCACATCCCGCCTCCCTACCACCATACTGCCCCAATCCATCGGCATATCATCACCATCATCGATCACCCAGCCCCCTGTTCCGCCATAGTTGACAAGCTCCTCCACCATGGCAGTCCTCCTGGACTCCCCGAGTAGGCCCCGGATGTCAACATGATCTCGTACAAGGGCGGCCCTACACGGTGGCGGGCACTTCCTCATGACACAACTAGACTGTTGTTGCTGGCATATCCGGACCCCCGAAATGGCCGACAGGGCGACCTCCGCATGGGCCAATTTCAAGACCTCCTGACGACATATGAGTACATTATCAAGGATCGTCCCATTCTCAGCAAGATAAGATGAGGCCCTATGTGAGTCCCATATGGTTTTTCTCTTGCGGAGGACGCGACTGATATTTCGGCCCAATTCAGGAGCAATCTTCACATCCCGCCTCCCTACCACCATACTGCCCCAATCCATCGGCATATCATCACCATCATCGATCACCCAGCCCCCTGTTCCGCCATAGTCGACAAGCTCCTCCACCATGGCAGTCCTCCTGGACTCCCCGAGTAGGCCCCGGATGTCAACATGATCTCGTACAAGGGCGGCCCTACGCGGCGGCGGGCACTTCCTCATGACACAACTAAACTGTTGTTGCTGGCATATCCGGACCCCCGAAATGGCCGACAGGGCGACCTCCGCATGGGCCAATTTCAAGTCCTCCTGACGACATATGAGTACATTATCAAGGATCGTCCCATTCTCAGCAAGATGAAATGGGTCCACATGATCATTGGTATGTACAGTGTTTCTAGCGGATGCTTCTGCTAATGGGATGTAGATGAGGGCCACCGCATGAAGAATACGCAGAGCAAGCTGTCTCAGACCCTTACACAGTACTATCATTCACGCTATCGTCTCATCCTCACTGGTACCCCACTGCAAAACAACCTCCCCGAGCTTTGGTTCCTGCTGAACTTCGTCGTCGGCCACCCAACCCCCTGTCCTGCTGGACGCATAGCTGTCCCTGGTGAGGGCCCCGGTAAAACCATCCAGACCATTGCACTCGTGACCTCCATCGAGGTGAAGAGGCAGTGCGGCCCTGCGGTATGAAGCAACGGGTTATAAAGTTAATTCGTCTGATAGATATGCATGTACAGAGTTAGCCGCGTCGCCGTCGAGATCCAGCCCATAATAACGATCAGGGAGAGGATGGATGCGAAAGAGAGGAGAGGAGGGGCAGTGCGGCCCCTACCTTGTCATCGTTCCCTTGTCCACTGAAGAACGGGTTCTACTCCCGAGAGGAGGCCCGCCTGCAAGAGGCAACTCGACGCCAGCAGGATATGCGCAGTCTTCCTACGATGGGAACTCGAGCACGATATATCTCCCTTATGGCTCACCTGGCCAGACGTACTTTGTCGTTCCTCCGCCCGGCGGGCCGCGACTGGACCAAGATCAAAGGCCTCAAAAAGGAAGATGGTATCGTTCGTGCCTCGCCCATGTACATGGGCTGCTTCTCGACAGAGCCCTTCGACGCCGAGGACCTCTACGCTGCCGGTATCCCCGTCTGGATCCCAGATCGCTGGTACGTCTACAGCATTTTTAATGGATTCCTCCGCTAATGGTATGTAGATGAGGGTCATCGCATGAAGAACACACAGAGCAAATTGTCTCAGACCCTCACACAGTACTATCACTCCCGTTATCGTCTTATTCTCACCGGCACTCCACTACAAAATAACCTTCCCGAGCTGTGGTCACTGTTGAGTTTCGTCTTACCCAAGATTTTCAACTCTGTCAAGTCATTCGACGAGTGGTTCAACACACCCTTCGCCAACTCTGGGACAGGGGACAAAATCGAGCTGAACGAAGAAGAAGCCCTTCTCATCATTCGCCGTCTGCACAAAGTCCTTCGCCCCTTCCTGCTTCGTCGTCTCAAGAAAGACGTCGAGAGTGAGCTGCCCGATAAGGTGGAGAAGGTGATCAAGATCCGCATGAGTGGCCTGCAGAGCCAACTCTACAGGCAAATGAAGAAGTTCAAGATGATTGCTGATGGTAACGAGTCCAAGGGGAAATCCGGCGGAGTCAAGGGTCTCAGTAACGAGCTCATGCAGCTCCGGAAGATCTGTCAGCACCCCTTCCTGTTCGAGAGCGTCGAGGATAAGGTCAACCCCTCTGGCATGATCGACGACAAACTTATTCGGTCGTCTGGCAAACTCGAACTACTCTCTCGCGTTCTTCCCAAGTTCTTCCATACAGGTCACAGAGTCCTCATCTTCTTCCAGATGACGAAGGTTATGGACATCATGGAGGACTTCCTGAAGTTCATCGAGAGTGAGCTGCCCCAGATCCTTGCTCCGATTCAAGACGGTTCTCGGAGCAACTGTCGTCCCCGACAGCGCATTCTCCGGTTGTCGCGCACAGACTCGGCCTGGGATGCGAAGGCTAGGGTCCTGAATTGGGCCGAAATATCAGTTGCGTCCTCCGCGAAAGACATCAGATAGGACTTACATTGATGGCGGGCTGGAGCCACTCGTTTGGGGGGAGATTCTTGACAGCATGCGAGATATGTTCTAGGGCTGGAATGCAAAAACCATGGTCCTAAACTAGGGTGGAATATCAGCTGTGTCGTCCGTGAAAGTCATGAGGAAACTTACGTCGGTGGTGAGCTAGATCTTGTTCCTACGAAGAGATAGCCGACGTTGGAGACAGGGTCCGGCTAGTGGCACTGTTCGGAGTCGCCTAAGGAGAATGCGGTAGACCGGGGAGGTGGCTGATGATCACCGAGGGGTATGTTATGTAGCTAGATGAGGCCATGGTCCTGAATTGGGCCGAAATATCAGTCGCGCTCTCCGTGAATAAAAATCGTATAAAACTTACAAGCAAGGGCGAGCAGGAGCCCCTCCTTCGGCAGGAGATTCTTGACTGAGTGGTACATGGATAGATTGAGGACGTCGCCGAGGGCCTTGCGCAAAGGCATTCCAAATCCTGAAGACACGACCGATTGGCAACACTGCCCCTGTCCATATAGCAACCCGTACGACGACGACGCGTTGTATAGAGGTCATGCCGACACTGTATCCACCCGGGCTCAACGTGTTCGCGGAGCACGCTCGACGCTAACAGTATCATAGCGAGGGCTTCGCTGGTGGCAAGTAACATATACGCAGCCTCGTCGTGCATACGGTGTCGCTAGACGCCAAGTCTAGGACGACGGCGTCGCGAAGACGCCATCATGCGGTGGCGCGTAGCCTGCCCGCGGGGGTGGTGAGCCTGAAGCGCTCGGATGGGGGGGAGGGCATGAGCCGGATGTAGGGGCGAGGAGAGGGGGGTGCTTACCTTACGTTCTTCCCCCGACCATCCTCCGCTGCGCGTCATCTCCGGCTTGGTGAACAACGGGGTAAGGGGCAGGAGGTGGGGGTGGGTGGGCTCTTGAGGGCCGATGGTGGCACTTGAGGGCCGATGGCGGCGCTTGTGGAGGTGGCGGCGGTGGCGAACGTCGGTGGCAAACGGCGTTGGGCGGGGATCGGGCGCAGCGGGCGGGGATCGGATGGGAGAGGAGGAGGGGGGAGAAGGGGGGAAGGGACGCGAGACGAGGAGGAGGAGGGGGGAGGGAAAACGAAGGAAGGGAGGGATGGGCGACGGCTCGAGTGAAGGCGATTGGAGTGGAGCTTGAATTTGGTAATTCCGCTGGAATTACCAAGCTCAGGGTTGGAGGCGCTCGGAGGAGTTGTCCGGAACCACTATAAATGGTAAGTGGCTGTACGCTGACTTTGAACTTACAGATCTTGCGCGCCACATTTTTAGTCGGAGATCGAAAAGCTGGATGACGCGCCTTGTGCGCCTTGCCTTTGCTCGTCGCGTCGCCGTTCCCCTCCATCCCTCGTCGACGTCTCCCCCCTTCTCTCTCGCATCCATCCCCCTCGTCTCTCTCATCCGCCGCTGCCACCACCACTCGCGCCCCATTCGTCGCCGCCGCTCTCCTCAAGACATACCTGGTACGTCCCCCCCCCCACCTCTCTCAGCTCCCGCGGGCAGGCTTTGCGCCACCGCAGACGGACGTCTACGCGACGCCGTCATGGCCTAGACTCGGCGTCTAGTAGCCTGGCCGAACGTCGGCGACCCCACCCCCTGCCGTCGCGCTGACGCACGCTGTTGAACCTGCGTATGCGAGCCTCGTATACGCGTCTGGGACCTTCTGGGCGACATGCGCGGTCAGTAGGGTCTTTGGGCGTTGTCGTCGCGGTGCCGGCTACGCTATGGCCAGAGCGACCTTTACCTTTCGATACATTTTTACTATACTCTTTACTTTACTTCTTTCTCGCTTCGCCCGCTCCCGCCCGTCAAGACCGAGTCGCTCAAGTCTGCGTCAAGTCATTGCAGGTCCTCCGGTTGCATTCCTCGCTCCTTTGCCATGTAAGTATTCTATTTGATCCTAATTCACTCACATCGCTCATTTGTTCATAGGTCACACCGTACCAAAGAACAACTTCAGCAAGCCGACCAACGTCTCAGAGGTCCGCTATACAGCGACCCCGCTGTGTTCGATCCTCGTTGTTGGAAGGCGCATCGACGGCCAGATCACGGTACGTCAAACTTGATTTCACTTCGTTATTGTCTAGCCTAATATATGCACAGACGACTGGAACGCCTACGATGCTCTCGCCTTGGGTGTCGATGGGTCCGACTGGCTCATTTCGTCCCCCAACTCGTCCTTCGTCTGTGAATATCGTAACACCTCGCAAGAACTTCGCGCCCGGAAGGACGGACGCCTTGGCCCCACAGATCCCTTCCAGTGGCCGACGCTCTTTCAACCCTCCATGCCTTGGGTCGCACTCTATCCCCGTCGTTCCTATTTCGAAGCCGACCCCATCATGAGCTTCTGCTGGTGGACCCCCGCCGACACGGATGTCGTCTGGAAGGACGCCACCACTCATACCACAGGTTTGCTCGACGACGCCGGCTTTTCGCGTATGCAAGCTCTGATGACGACTGCCCGCACCCGCGAGACCAACTTCTGCTCCACGAGCGCCGGGGAGAACAATCGTTCGTGGCTGCGGCGTGCCATCCGTCGCCTCCAAGACGTTCTCGACCGTTTCCGCCGTTTCCCCTCCAGCCTCCGCTCCATCATCCTCGACGTCGCAGACTTTCAGCGCGGGGTTATGGACATCTGGGCGTTCACGGAGTGGTGGCTCCGCGTGAAGAACGGGTTCTACTCCCGCGATTGGACCAAGGTCGAAGGCCTCAAGAAGGAGGATGGTATCGTTCGTGCCTCGCCCATGTACATGGGCTGCTTCTCGACAGAGCCCTTCGACGCCGAGGACCTCTACGCTGCCGGTATTCCCGTCTGGATCCCACGTTCCCGCACCCAGTGGTCCGATAGCTCTAACTCCATCTCTCTCGTCAACGTCGACCGCCCTCGCGTTGTCATCGAAGACTACCACGAGAACGGTGTCGACATGCGGTACCCCGTTCTACATACTGGCCCCCCCTCCCTCCTTCGCATCGTCGCTGCCCGCTTCGGCTACGGTCACAGCCATGAAGACCCGGAGTCGTTCAAGATTCACGGCATATCTACCAATGACCTCGGTCCGGGTCTCCAGGACCTCCTCAAGCGAGGAGCATCATCAGTTAGGTTCTTGAACTCCGAGGCCGGGCCCTCGACCGGACCATCTCGTCCAAAGCCTTCGAAATCCAAGCGCTCGACACCCTGTAAGTCTAATCTCATTTAAAATCAACTACTTTTGTTCTAATAATTATCTCAGATACCCGCCCCTCCACTGGTCCCAAGAAGGAGCAGCGCGACAAGTGGGCCGAGCTGACTCACGAGTTCTGGCCTGCCGGATTCAATGCTTGGAGGGTCGCGTTGAAAGAAGTCGACAAGTCCCCCTCCCGCGTTCGCAACGTCGCCATGAACGGCGGCTATTTTTTCCCCGAGCCTGCCCTATTCTGTGGGGTGACCGACTTCTCTCGCCTCGCCCGTTATGTCGAGAACTGGCTAGCGATCCGCGAGCCATGGATCAACTATGTCCGCACCAGCCCTCCCGAGCTCCCGCCTAAGGGGCAGAACTGGCGGGACTTCCTCAACGGCGCCATCTGGGACTGCACCCCCGACAACAACGGCTCTGGTAGCGAGCGGGACAAGGCCCGCATGCTTCGGTTCCTCCAGCCCGTCCTTCTCGCTGCTCGAGCCAATCGTCAAGCCCCCTCCATCATTGTTCGTGGCACGGCGATCACCCGCGAGCAGATGCAGAAGCCCGAGCCTGTGCTCATGCGACGGCTTCTGTGGGACCTCTTCAATCTCAGCTTCGCTGCTGAGTTTGTTGCTGTCGATCAGCTCGTCAAGCCTACGTTGTGGACTCATGAGACGGCTGCCGCACGTCGTGGGGTTCTCGCTCTTGCCCTCCCCTCTCATTTTGGGGCATGCCCCGACACATGGCCTTCATCGGAGCTGTGCTCCTTCGGTGGGACTCCGGACAATGTCCCTGCCGTTGTCAATGCCATCCGTGACATTGTTCGGGCCTGGCCGGGGTCACCTGACAGCCTCAATGTCTATGTGAAGGACAGTCACTTACCCATTGGCGGTTTGACTGACCGGGGCCGCTCGCATCTGTTTCGCTTGCGCATCGTGCTCACCAAGATCTATGCCCAAGCATTCTTCGACCAGTTTGGTCGTCCACCAGTGCTGCCGCACTGTTTCCCGGAAGCTGTTGATGGATCAATGGAGGGTTAGGGGTAGGCATTGGTATCGGAGCTGACATTTTACTTAAATCTTTTCTTCGAGTTTTGTTGCATGTACACGATTCGCACGGACACTATAGTTAGATTTCATTTTGCTTTGTTTCTGTTGCAATGATAACATGGATGATGCTTATCATTCTGTCTTAGTTGATGCCTGAGGTTCTAAAGCGCAAGCGTTCAAAGAAGGATGAAGATGACACTGCAGACTATGTAGCTTTAGGAGGTTGGTTGAGTGTGATGTATGTAAATGTTGCATGACTTAGCTCAATCATAGGGAGGCGCAGATATCCTTTGAACTCTGTCTCAACAGCACCTGAGGCCACCACTTCTCAACCATCGGTCCCCGCAACTCTGTCTACTACTTCTGCAAGTACAATACCTTGCCCCCCATCTGTGCACCATGATTTCAATAACAATGATGGTTACAATGATATTGAGCCATCACTACCACAGCCTTCCAACACAATGGTTGTGTCTGTAGGCTCACCACGTCGCCGCACTTATGTGTCTGGTCATACAAAGCGTGCCAACCAGTGGCATGCATGGACTACTCTCTTGCCATCACTTATTGAACCTTATCGTCGCCACCTTCATGATACAGAAAACCTCCGCACTCCCTCCAACTTGGGTCAGCTGAAGTCGGCACGTCGATGCACTCGTAATTGTGTGGGATGCACACTTACCATCACTTGTGTCTTTTTTGATGGTAAGCTATTGTTGCTGCTATGTGTTATTATGAAGGCTGACCCTTGTAGCCCTCAAAGTGATTGAAGTGGATACATGCCCATGTGTTGGTGCTGCTCAGCGCTTGCTTAGAGCTGGTCTTTTCCCATGTGCCCCTTCCTCTCCTACCCTTGCTGTTGATCTCCGTGTTCTTCGGTTCATTGAAATGCTTGCATTGCGCACTGCCCCCAATGTCTCAGCATGGACAGACACTCTGGAAGCATACTTGCATGGTATGGGCTATAAACTTCCAATGAAGGTGAGCCTCTGTTGTTGCCATGATAATCTTTACTAATAGAATATAGGATCGATTACGCCGCAGGTTTCAGCGCAGCTACCACTGGTATCGTGTGCTAGAGCGTCTTTCACAAGAGCACCTGAACAATCTTGTTGATGGCCAATGTCAGAGCTCAGTGCCTGATCAGCCCAGCCTCTATCTTCAAGAACGTTGTCCACTCTGCTTTGGTGGTGATGACTGGCGTGCTGGCAGAGGAGCTGCAGACCTGTATGCCTCTATCATTACTTTTTTTTTTCAACTGCTAACTTTTTTTAGTCCTGATTGCATTGTGTGCATAGATGCCTGTTTTACTCAAAAACGGTCTAATGCGCATCATGAGTCCAACACCCATGACCCACCCAATCCCACTCACTCTGTCTTCATTGATGAGACAACTGTTGCAGCTGTTGAGGCAGCTGTTGATGCAAAGTGCAAAAGACAGCAAGGTCGTCCACATGGTGCAAACCAGGATGACTCTGTGGAGCCTGGTATGCGCATTCCCACTTCGGTCCTTGATGGATGTGGGGAGAGCTTTGTTGCTGCAGATGAACGAAGGCAAAAAGCTAGCACTCGCTTTTTCTCTGATACTGGCCTCATGACCTTGATGTGTCGACATGATCGGGTACTTTGGCTTGTCAACATGACTTCTCCTGGTGAGAAGCAGCACTATGCCTTGGCCCTCATCAACCAGTTGTTCCAGCATATTCCCAAGGAGATGCGTGTTGGCATACTTTATGACATTGGATGCCAGCTGGAGCGAAGTTGTCACAAGTGGAACTTGCTTCCCAGTCTTCTTGACCGCATCATCTTTGGCATATCAGTCTTTCATGCATATGGTCATCAGTGGGCTTGCCAAGTTGTTTATCACCCCCGTAAACGCATAGGCTTTGGGTTGTCAGATGGAGAAGGTTGTGAACGTCTTTGGAGTGCCCTCAAACTTCTCATCCCTTCGCTTCGTGTCTCAGGTGTAAGTTTTTCCATCTCCACTGGTTGATGTATGCATACTGATTACTGTAAAGTTCCACCAGAGGCTTTTTACACTTGATATTCAGATTAACTACCTGGATGAAAGATCTCTGGACAGCTATGGGTTGTGGCTCTCACGTCGCTGGACAGCTACTCAAAAGCGACTATCCTCTGCTCGTAATGCACTAGTCACAATTAATCTTCCTGCCAAAACACTTAGGTCAGAATGGCACGATCAAGTGCAAGTTCAAACCAAGCCACTTCCTCGTGAGTTCCATGTCTCTGACTGTGCCATGTAATTAACCATCACATAATTAGGGCAAACTTCTGGTCAGGCTCACCAGGACTTTGCTCGAATTATTACTTTGGAAGACACATTACAACAGTCAAGGGAAACTCTTCGCCATAGCAAGAACAGGCTTGCCAATCCAACTCATATTCTTGTGGTTGATGCTGACCTTGATATGGATGATATGCGCAACCGTATTAAATCACTTGAGGATGCCCGTAAACGCCAGAAATCTGCACTGGGTATTGATGGTCGACGCAAGCTCAGCAAGCTGCAAGGCAGTCTCTTCTTACTCACCCGGATGAAAGCTCTTGCAGTCAAGACTCGCTTGCGTGACAAGCTTCGTCATCGCAAGTTTGAACTGGCAAAATTGGAGCGCGCATATCGTCAGTCAGTCAATGGTGGGCTTTTCGTATCTTTTCATCCTTCATAGATAAATGACTGTTTTTATAGAGCATCGCCTCAATGAGCACACCAGCCAGTCTGTGAAGCGTCGGGAGCCAACTATCACTGCACTTGTTCAGAAGTACAACACACTGTGTCAAGAGCTTGAACTCATAAAGCATCAAGGTAATGCACCACAAAATGCTGTGCTCCCACATCACATCAATAAGGAAGGTATTTTTGACCTTGATGTTGATGATGGTATATGGGAGGATGTTGGCCTGCATGAGGATGTGCCACATCCACCAGATTGGCTGGCTAATAATTCTGTCCGTGATGGTATTCGCCACCTCCTCATCCGTGATCGCTGCAAAGAAGAAACTCAGCGACTATCCATTGAGCGGTGCCGTCTTCAAGAATGGGCAAGATCTACTTGGAATGGTCTTGAAAAGGCTGTAAAAACTGCAGGTGTGTGTTATTATTAAGTTTGGTTAACCATTCTCATTTCTGTAGATAATGCTACTTCTTATCATTTAAAGCTGAAACAGGCTCAGCTTGCTGCTCGCATTCAAGTGTGGAGAAATGAAGTGGCAATCATTACTCCTGCATGGCCAATGGATTGTTCATGGGGTCCATCAGAAGCCACTCTGAACACAGCTTGTGTAACAATGGCAACATCAGCCACTGTTCCTGTTACAGCTTCGGATCCTGATGACAGTGGATCAGAAGGTTCAATTGTTGATGACACAATGAATGTAGACGAGCTGATGGCAGAAATAGAGGAAATAGGCTATTCTAATGCATATCATGATGAAGAGGATAGAAGTGAGGGTACTTTGGATTATAGCAATGGTGTAGCACTGTAATTTATATTTTTACCTTGAGTTTTCAAAGCAGGATAGATTTACTTGAAAAGATATGGTTTAATGTGACACATCTTATCCAATAATATAACACTGGCTTGGTTTATTGCCAATATTGTTGTTGTTCAAGAAGTAAAAAAACATAAGCATACTATAGTTTTTTAACCAACAGCACTGTAGTGGAGTCCAGTGAAAGCACCTAAAGGTACTCTACAACAAAAATACTATAAGAGAATATACATTCTTGGACTGTTTGATTTCCAATTACCATCACAGGAATATATCTGAGTGATAGATGGTAATCTATATTCACCACAAATACAAGTGGTAATTCCAGTGTAGCATTTTTATACAATGTGTCAGCATGGTTTTACCAGGAGCAATGCTGGAGGAAACAATATTCTAACACAGACTAAAGATGTGCTTCCTGAATTATTCTGGGCACCAATGGTATTTCCCCAGGAATACATTACAGGCATGCACCACATTGGTTATACCACTGGTCTTCCTAAAATACACTATGTTCTACCATAGACTGGATCCTTGCTTTCTGGATTATTCTGTATTATGTAGGTATTTTCTGTGAAGTGGATTTTATACCATACATAAAGTTGGTTATACCAGTGGTTTCCCCAAAACAGGGCATATTCTACCATGGACCATATTTTTGCTTCCTGTACTTTCCCCAATACATAAGGTATTTCCTGTACAGTGTATTCTGTACCACACATAAAGTTGGTTATACCAGTGGTTTCCCCAAAACAAGGCATACTCTACCATGGACTATTTTCCTTCTTCCTGGATTACTGGTGCACTAATGGTATTTCTCCAAAAATCTTTTCTAAACTGCACACTACTTTGGTTATACCACTGGCAGTATGCAATTAAAATAGAATCTACCATGGACTAGATCTTTGGTTTTTAGATTCTTTGTTGATCACCAGGTAGCACTTTCAACCCCAGATAGTGTCATGGTTATACCAGTGGTCATATTATAAGAAACTGAACTCTTCCATAGTATTGTCCAAAACAACATATTTGACTGTAGTTGTTTCCATAATATTACCCAAATGTTTTTCTTTCCATCAGCAGTTATTTACCACCAAATGCCATGTAAAACAACATAGCAGTCATGTCAATAGCTCCCTATTGTTTCCATGGTCATTAATGTGGACTCTTATTCCATGTTTGAAGAGCTATATAGCACTCCTGGTATTGGAAAAAATGTCTAAAGACTTCCATCAAAGCTACTCAAATTTGATTTTCACTGGTGTAGAGGTTGAACAATGCCAAGCACATATACTGCAGTATGAACTACCTTTTTGGACAATTCCATGAGATATACCAAGGTAAAACAATGTCATCTAAATACTTTTTGGTTAGAGTAGACGGGTTGATAAAACAGTCTGGATGGTATTTAGTTGGATATATGAATTGATTGTGGTACTACCTTTTCTGGTATTATTGTGTTACCATTTATTCTCATTGATGGTATTATACAAAAGCCCAGGACCCCTGGCACCTGGAAACTTCCACAATCACCTTGACTCTAATTCCACAGCCAAGGATCAGTACCAGAAAATGTTGGTAATACCATGATTTAGGGGCCTAGTAG